TTACTGTATTAGACTGTTAAAAAACATTACTATGCGGGTATTACTGTATTAGACTGTTAAAAACATTACTATGCAGGTATTACTGTATTAGACTGTTAAAAACATTACTATGCTGGGTATTACTGTATTAGACTGTTAAAAACATTACTATGCAGGGTATTACTGTATTAGACTGTTAAAAACATTACTATGTGGGTATTACTGTATTAGACTGTTAAAAACATTACTATGCTGGGTATTACTGTATAGACTGTTAAAAACATTAATATGCTGGTATTACTGTATTAGACTGTTAAAAACATTACTATTCTGGGTATTACTGTATTAGACTGTTAAAAACATTACTATGCTGGGTATTACTGTATTAGACTGTTAAAAACATTACTATGCAGGTATTACTGTATTAGACTGTTAAAAACATTACTATGCGGGTATTACTGTATTAGACTGTTAAAAACATTACTATGCTGGGTATTACTGTATTAGACTGTTAAAAACATTACTATGCAGGGTATTACTGTATTAGACTGTTAAAAACATTACTATGCATGGTATTACTGTATTAGACTGTTAAAAACATTACTATGCTGGGTATTACTGTATTAGACTGTTAAAAACATTACTATGCAGGTATTACTGTATTAGACTGTTAAAAACATTACTATGCAGGTATTACTGTATTAGACTGTTAAAAACATTACTATGCTGGGTATTACTGTATTAGACTGTTAACCCTTTGACTGTCGAAGGGCCAAATCCTGAAGTTGCTTCTGGTGTCGCAAAATATTCGAAAAAAAAAAAAATTATTTTTTCTTATGAAATGATAGAGAATCTTTTCCCGATTGTAAAGACACCAAAAAAACGAAATTTGATGGAAAACTGACGGAATTATGCTCTCGCGAAGTTAGCGACTTCGGCGATATTTAAAAATCGGCAATTTCGCCCACTTTGAGCCCTATTTTCGGCTAATTCCGTTATTCCAGTCAACCAAACTCATAACTATTTCTTCAGAACTCTATTTTTTCTATCGATTGAGTACAAGAAACTGCCCATTTACCGATTTCAACTACCCAATAACATGGTCAGAATTTGCAATTTGGCCAATTTCACGAAAATTAAAAAATACGACAATTTCAAAATAAGGTCCAGAATGAACAATGCAGACATTCCTGGCTCTAAAATAACATTTTCTTTGTTCATCAGTCATGTCTCCAGGTCCCTGTGATATTACTCTTGCTTTTTATTTTGAAATTTATTCAAACAAAAAATAGAAGATTTACTGTTATGCAGACTACTGCAATACTGTAATAATTGTAAAAAATACATCAACCCATTCATGACTGCGTATTAGAATGGCTATTTGGACATTTATTGGACAATGACATCATTTGTTCACTTTTGAACATCGGCAAAAATCAAACATTTCCTGTACTTTGTGCTCCATTTCCAGGTTCTTTTTATAGTAAAATTAATCAAAATCACCTCCATTTCTATAATATAGTTTCCATTCTATCAAATGAGACCAAGAAAACGAGAATACAACCACAAATACTATACAAAAATAGAGCACAAAGTCGGCATTTTAATTAAAAAAAAAACGGTCGGAGTTTTTTTTTTCTCATTATGCACTGCGTGCTCCAGGATTTTTTTTATGTGGTGCACACTGACCACACAGACCCATTCTCTCACATGTGGGCCTACTAGCTTTCTCCTGCCTGATTTGAAGCCGCTAGAATTTATGAGTATATATACGTCAAACACGGTACCTCGCAAACGTATATATACGGCCGCGACAGTCAAAGGGTTAAAAACATTACTATGCAGGGTATTACTGTATTAGACTGTTAAAAACATTACTATGCTGGGTATTACTGTATTAGACTGTTAAAAACATTACTATGCTGGGTATTACTGTATTAGACTGTTAAAAACATTACTATGCAGGTATTACTGTATTAGACTGTTAAAAACATTACTATGCAGGGTATTACTGTATTAGACTGTTAAAAACATTACTATGCTGGGTATTACTGTATTAGACTGTTAAAAACATTACTATGCAGGGTATTACTGTATTAGACTGTTAAAACATTACTATGCAGGGTATTACTGTATTAGACTGTTTAAAAACATTACTATGCTGGGTATTACTGTATTAGACTGTTAAAAACATTACTATGCGGGTATTACTGTATTAGACTGTTAAAAAACATTACTATGCTGGTATTACTGTATTAGACTGTTAAAAACATTACTATGCATGGTATTACTGTATTAGACTGTTAAAAACATTACTATGCAGGTATATACGTGTATTAGACTGTTAAAAACATTACTATGCTGGGTATTACTGTATTAGACTGTTAAAAACATTACTATGCTGGGTATTACTGTATTAGACTGTTAAAAACATTACTATGCAGGGTATTACTGGTATTAGACTGTTAAAAACATTACTATGCATGGTATTACTGTATTAGACTGTTTAAAAACATTACTATGCAGGTATTACTGTATTAGACTGTTAAAAACATACTATGCTGGGTATTACTGTATTAGACTGTTAAAAACATTACTATGCTGGGTATTACTGTATTAACTGTTAAAAACATTACTATGCTGGGTATTACTGTATTAGACTGTTAAAAACATTACTATGCAGGGTATTACTGTATTAGACTGTTAAAAACATTACTATGCTGGGTATTACTGTATTAGACTGTTAAAAACATTACTATGCTGGGTATTACTGTATTAGACTGTTAAAAACATTACTATGCTGGGTATTACTGTATTAGACTGTTAAAAACATTACTATGCTGGTGTATTACTGTATTAGACTGTTAAAAACATTACTATGCAGGGTATTACTGTATTAGACTGTTAAAAACATACTATGCTGGGTATTACTGTATTAGACTGTTAAAAACATTACTATGCTATGGAGTATTACTGGTATTAGAAGCTGTTAAAAACATTACAATGCTGGGTATTACTGTATTAGACTGTTAAAAACATTACTATGCTGGTATTACTGTATTAGACTGTTAAAAACATTACAATGCTGGGTATTACTGTATTAGACTGTTAAAAACATTACTATGCTGGGTATTACTGTATTAGACTGTTAAAAACATTACTATGCTGGTATTACTGTATTAGACTGTTAAAAACATTACTATGCTGGGTATTACTGTATTAGACTGTTAAAAACATTACTATGCAGGGTATTACTGTATTAGACTGTTAAAAACATTACTATGCTGGGTATTACTGTATTAGACTGTTAAAAACATTACTAATGCTGGGTATTACTGTATTAGACTGTTAAAAACATTACTATGCAGGGTATTACTGTATTAGACTGTTAAAAACATTACTATGCTGGGTATTACTGTATTAGACTGTTAAAAACATTACTATGCAGGGTATTACTGTATTAGACTGTTAAAAACATTACTATGCTGGTATTACTGTATTAGACTGTTAAAAACATTACTATGCTGGGTATTACTGTATTAGACTGTTAAAAACATTACTATGCTGGTATTACTGTATTAGACTGTTAAAAACATTACTATGCTGGGTATTACTGTATTAGACTGTTAAAAACATTACTATGCTGGTATTACTGTATTAGACTGTTAAAAACATTACTATGCTGGGTATTACTGTATTAGACTGTTAAAAACATTACTATGCAGGGTATTACTGTATTAGACTGTTAAAAACATTACTATGCTGGGTATTACTGTATTAGACTGTTAAAAACATTACTATGCTGGGTATTACTGTATTAGACTGTTAAAAACATTACTATGCTGGTATTACTGTATTCATTTATTTACTTTGCAATATTGATATTTATTTACTTACAGCAATCATTTGTTAATTTACTTATTTAGTGACAGTAGTTATTTATTTCCTTATTTCATAAATAACCCACAGCTAACAATATTTTGGTCCAACTTGTTTACCTGGAGTTTACCTGGAGAGAGTTCCGGGGGTCAACGCCCCCGCGGCCCGGTCTGTGACCATTGTTTGAACCATTAATTGTAATATTTTTATGTGCAACTTCAAGATCATTCTTCTTATAAACTGCCACCTTAACTACCCCACATTATTATTATTATTATTATTATTATTATTATTATAACTTCTACCTTAACTACCCCACATTAGTATTAAGATTAAATATAAATTTTAATAAAAGTTAACCACTCTTATATTGTCTAGATTTTAGTAGTTATTAGGTACAGTGGACCCCCGCATAACGATCACCTCCCAATGCGACCAATTATGTAAGTGTATTTATGTAAGTGCGTTTGTACGTGTATGTTTGGGGGTCTGAAATGGACTAATCTACTTCACAATATTCCTTATGGGAACAAATTCGGTCAGTACTGGCACCTGAACATACTTCTGGAATGAAAAAATATCGTTAACCGGGGGTCCACTGTACTAGGATCAGTCTGCCCAACATGTTCCAGCATGATAGCGACTTTCTTTGTACTTAGTAAACTAAAACTGTACAGTGGACCCCCGGTTAACGATATTTTTTCACTCCATAAGTATGTTCAGGTGCCAGTACTGACTGAATTTGTTCCCATAAGGAATATTGTGAAGTAGATTAGTCCATTTCAGACCCCCAAACATACATGTACAAACGCACTTACATAAATACACTTACATAATTGGTCGCATTCGGAGGTAATCGTTATGCGGGGGTCCAATGTAATTACACATTGTAACCTTTACAAAGAAATTAAAATCTTTATTCTTTATAAATGATTTAAGTTGTACCAAAACATCACACTAAGCTCCTCTCTCCTATGGGCAGGATACTTGTGTATTGTTCCAGTCATGGTATTGTGCATTTCTGTTTGTTATAGCACCTGTATTATTATTATTATTATTATAATCAAGGGGAAGCGCTAAACCCGGAGGAGCACCTGTAATGTTTGCCTACGTTCAGAATGTTAAACCAGGCAGTACTTTACCTCTTTAGGTTTGTTTGGTGGCTGTCCGTTGAGATCGTCCATGATGATGTCATTACGATCAGTGATGAGTTCAGCGTCCAGGTCCGACATTTCGCCCGGATCATGAAGCTCAGTCGTTGAATAATAAACCTGACATTCAGACGAAACAAAAGTGACTTGTCACAATGAGCAAAAAAATAGTCATATTAATACAATTAACCCTTTCAGAACCAGATCCCTCTTCTGAAAATTGCTCTCAGGGTCCAAGAATTTTAAGAGAATCCCCTGCTTGAATTCTGAAAATAACGACCAGGAAGGCAATGCCCCGAAGATGGGAAAAACTGACCTAGACTACAAAAAATCACACACAACACAAAATACACATGAAAAATACATGACCTCTGGATATCCTGTACATATATAACACCTAAATACCCTGTACATTTAAATGCTTGGACATCCTGCATACATATAACAACACACAAGAGTAACACAGTCAGCAACACGCAGTGGCGGCTTGTCCAAAGGAGCTGCAGTCTCCCCCGATGCTCACTGCCAGATGTATGACTTCATCAACCTTACGCTAAAATAATTTACAACTGACAAATATATTACAGGAAAAATCTGTTGTCTGTTTTCAATGTATTTGTAAGCGAATTTTCAATTGTTTTATTGAAACGAGATAAAAAATGATTAAAAATAGAAATCTGATGCAGTACAATAATATAGGTATTACTGGTGTTACATCTGGCAGTGAGGAGCTGCAGTCACACAATCCCCCCATTCTATTTCTTGACAAACCGCCACTGACAACATGGCATCAACATTCAACAATTCATCAACAAACAACACATCAATTCATCAACAATCAACATATCAATTCATCAACAATCAACACATCAATTCATCAACAATCCATCAACATCGAACAACAATATAGCATCAACAAATACGAACACAAACACATTACACTAATGGCCATGAAAGACGAATAATATTTCAATATTATAATACAGACAACACATTAGACTACTCTTCTCCCCAGGTCAAGTAACTTGTGTACTGTACATCTTATAGTCTACTCTGGACCTGGTACCTTATCTCCAGGTCAAGTAACTTGTGTACCATACATCCTGTACTGTACTCTGGACCTGGTACCTTATCTCCAGGTCAAGTAACTCTGTGTGTACCGTACATCCTGTACTGTACTCTGGACCTGGTACCTTATCTCCAGGTCAAGTAACTTGTGTACCGTACATCCTGTACTGTACTCTGGACCTGGTACCTTATCTCCAGGTCAAGTAACTTGTGTACCGTACATCCTGTACTGTACTCTGGACCTGGTACCTTATCTCCAGGTCAAGTAACTGTGTACCATACATCCTGTACTGTACTCTGGACCTGGTACCTTATCTCCAGGTCAAGTAACTTGTGTACCGTACATCCTGTACTGTACTCTGGACCTGGTACCTTATCTCCAGGTCAAGTAACTTGTGTACCGTACATCCTGTACTGTACTCTGGACCTGGTACCTTATCTCCAGGTCTTGTAACTCATGTAGGGGACATTTTATACTCTACTCTGGACCCAGTACCATATACATTGTGTAAATTCGCTTATAAGCACTGACTCCTCTTTCTACCACAAATTACCTCAGAAGTGGTCATTCCATTTTTATTAGCAATTCACTTACAGTGAAATCTTGGTATAATGAATTAATATGGGGAGGGGGATGTCCATTGCAACAAAAATGCATTGTATCGAAATGCCCAATGAAGCCTTGTTTGTTGTATGATAAGTCTACCATACACTCACTACCACTAACAATGATAAAACATAAATCATTTTATGGTAGTCTACCTTACTCTCACTGCCACTAACAATGATAAAACATAGATCATTGTATGGTAGTCTACCATACTCTCACTAACAATGATAAAACAGATCATTGTATGGCAGTCTACCATACTCTCACTAACAATGATAAAACATAGATCATTGTATGGTAGTCTACCATACACTCGATACCACAAAGAGATGAAATTTTAACACAGTAAATACGGGTTTTTAGTAAACTGCCGTAGCCACGATATTTTGACTTTCTAATCTCTTGTAGCATTATGGGGAAGAGCTAAACCCACAGGGGTCATACAGAACCTGTAGAATGGGAGGTAATCAGCTTTGATCCAAGGGAGGAGGAGGGTAGTTCCAGTCCCTTGAATCAAAAGCACATAAGCAACAAGGTACCTGTCATCCAATTTTGAAAAAAACTATGTATGTACATACAGGATTGTGTGAAAATAGAGTCCAGCATTATTATTATTATTATCATCATCATCATCATTATTATGTAAACAATGCCTTGAAAAACTATTAGTGCAGGTAAGAAAATAATTGCACTTTTTAAATATTTTAGGCTCGTAGTTTATAATACAGATGCTCCTCATTTCACGATGGTTTGGCTTGTGATATTTTACCCTTACGATGGCGTGACGGCGGTGCACATTCTGTACTGCTCAATACTGTACATTTGATAGGATAAACTTGTACAGTAGTTATTTATTTACTTATATACAACCTCTCCTCACTTAGCAACGTACTCATTTACCGACACCTCGGACTTATGACGAGCTCTCTGACCAGTATTTATACCTAAATAATTTATATTACAGCTGATTTCCTCTACTCTGTTTATTTCAATAAACAGTACAATGCTGTATAAACATTTAAAAATATGACATTAAAACAATATCAAAGATGGTTGACACAAACTCACTACCATATAATATGCTCCTCACTTAGCGACGAATTTGTTTACCGATGTGGTCCTGGGAACGGAACTCCATTACGTGAGGACAGGCTGTATTTATCATATCATTCATATTCGACTATGATATGTTCAACTTATGACAGGTTTGTTGGATGTAACCCCATCATTGCTCACAACCCGTCCCAAGGCTTGGTTTCAGACCAAACCTTCTCAACTGTACAGGAATCACTATGCAACTGGGAACTAAGGCACACTCGCATAAAAATATTCTTTAACCCTTTGACTGTCACAACCCCAAATCCTGAAGTGTCTCTTGGTGTCGCAAAATATTTGAAAAAAAAAAAAAAAATTATTTTTTCTTATGATAAAAAATATTTTCCCGATGGTAATGACACCAAAAGTACGAAATTTGATGGAAAACTTATGAAATTACGCTCTCACACAGTTAGCGACCTTGGCGACATTTACGCATCGGTGATTTTGCCCACTTTGAGCCCTATTTTCGGAAAATTCCACTGTTCCAGTCGACCAAACTCATAACTATTTCTTTACAACTCCATTTGTTGTATCGACTGAGTACAAGAAACTGCCCATTTACAGATTTCAACTACCCAATAAGGTGGTCAGAAATTGGCAATTTTGCCAATTTCATGCAAATTAAAAAATGTATCAATTTCAAAATAGAGTCCAGAATGAACAATGCAGACATTCCTGGCACTAAAATAACATTTTCTCTGTTCATCAGTCATGTCTCCAGGCCCCTCTGATATTGCTCTTGCTTTCTATTTGGAATTTTTATTCACACAAAAAGTAGAAGATTTACTGTTATGTAGACTACTGCAATATTGTAATAATTGTATAAATAATGTCAACCTATTCATGACTGCATATTAGAATGGCTAGTTGGACATTTATTGGACAATGACGTCATTTGTTTACTTTTGAACATCAGCAAAAATCGAACATTTCTGCCACTTTGAGCTCCATTTCAAGATCCTTCTCATAGTAAAACCAATCAAAATCACTTCTATTCTATGATTTCCATTTATCAAATGAGACCAAGAAAACAAGAATACAAACATGTGGCCTGGTCACAGACTGGGCCACGGGGGCGTTGACCCCCGGAACTCTCTCCAGGTAAACTCCAGGTAAATACTTTACAAACATACACCTCAAAGTAGGCGTTTTAATCCAAAAATACTGTCGGAGTTTTCTTCTTCTCATTATGCACTGTGCTGCAGGATTGTTTTATACTGTGCACACTGACCACATAGACCCATTCTCTCACATGTGGGCCTACCAGCTTTCTCCTGCTTGATTTGAAGCCGCTAAAATTTTTGAGTATATACGTCAAACACGTTGGCTCGTAAGATGTATATATACGACCGAAACAGTCAAAGGGTTAAAGTGCAATATTTGACAAATGCAAATAACAAAATGCTCTCTCTACAACTGATTTCTGCAACAACAGGAAGCTCAGTGAGCCAGATGTAACACACTAACTTAAGGTGACTGACATATATTACTACTAATAACAAAAAAAGGCAAAACACCGTGACTGGAACGATACACAAATAACCCGCTCATAGAAGAGAAGAGCTTACATTGCCGTAAGCTCCTCTCTTCTATGTGTGGGTTATTTGTGTATATATTACTACTTTATAGAACGACCCTTATTATGCAAAGCATTCCAGGCAGCCTTAAAACTAAACAATGATTACCAATATACGAATAAGAATACTTAGTTTTTATTATAATGAAGGTATTTAGTAGCTTAATAAAAAATTACAATTAGATATATATTAAGGATGAAGCTAAGTACATGTGATAAAGGAATGGTAGACATGAAAATGATAAAAACAATAATGAATTGTAACTACGTTATTAAAAGTAGTGTTGCAGGGAAAATGACCAGGCAGGAAAAACTTAATTTGTAAATAACCAGCACTTAGGAGACGAAACATGTAACTGTTCTAGTCCCTCCAGGATCATCCTTCCTGGACCATCCTTCCTGGATGGACCATAACATGGACAAGTCCTCCAAAGTGCAGATTTTGTGAATTCTTCCAGCCACAGTACTGTGATTTATTCACCCAAAACCAGTTTAATCCTTAAGTATTCCAAGGCCCAGTATAGGGCCAGCATCTATGGTGATTTTCAAAGGTTATAGAGGCCAATCAGGGCACAAGAAATCAACATCCTCTAGAGTAGTGGTCCTCAACCTTCCTACACAAGTGAGCCACATTTGATGGTTAAATGTGATGAGAGCTGCATGGTTCTGGTGACAATGTGCACTGTGGAACCTACATAAACATGAATTTATAATTTCATGTGACAGCCACATCCATTTACTAGAAGGGCCACATGCAGGCCGCATGTTGGGGATCCCTGCTCTTGACAGCAGAGGAACTCTGTCGTCCTCAAGAACCAATCAGAGCCTTAATTCCTTCCCAGAAGAAATGACAAGTAGAGATGTGAAGCAGTGTAGTTCTAGACATGAGAGGCTGGTTCCCTATCATAGGCAATCACATGTCAGTAGGAAAATGACTGGACTCTCAAAAACTCATAAAACACCATGAAAGTTTCAGAAAAGCCATACAAGTAAAATGGTCTTAGAAAAGGCCAGTCTATAACATACTAGAAGCACATCAAAATTCCTCCAACATTTCCACAACTAAATGCCATAGGGTTAGAAGCACCTAAATACAGTAGGGCCCAACTTATACAGCAGGTTAAGTTCCAGGCTACTGTTTTAAAGTGAAATATAGCCTTTTTCCACTTTCAAATGCAAACAAAAGCCTGATAACATATTTACACTATCATATATTAAGTGAGCAATAGAGCTAGGCCTAAAAAATGCCTATGCATACACTCATTACTTACCTTAAAATATTTTTCTTCTGAGCTTATACTGAGTGGTGAATATATTGCCTGTAGGAAGTCGGAATAAATGAAGAATGGGCACAACTGATAACCGCTGCATTAATGAATGCTGTAAAACGAAGCGCTGTAAAGTTGGGCCCAACTATACCTAACCATTCATGCGGCAACATGCATAACTAGTCCAGGGAGGATTAAAAAAAAAAAAATCACGACAGACATCAAGCCATGGTGAAGTGCTGCATAACGCCACATGAAACACGACTAAAAAAAAAAAGTGCCAATAACCTCACACTTTCTATGGAAGCAGTTGCGGAGGTGAGGCGCCGGAGACTGCGGAGAATGTCCCGAGTCTCGTACTGCCGGCCACCATGTGAACGAGCACAACAATATCACCAACTACACAAAATATTTAACACTAAGCAATTATCATTTACTGAACTCTACACTAGAGAAATATTGTGAACTCTGCACTAAAATATTATTTGATAAACACTGCACTAAAGAAATATTAACTGGTAAGTTCTAAAGAAATATTCAATGGTAAACTCTGTACTAAAATGTTATTTGGTAAACTGCACTAAAGAAATATTAACCTGTAAACTCTGCAGTGGAGAAATATTAACTTGTAAAGTCTACACTAAAGAAATATTAACTGGTAAATTTTTCACTGAAGAAATATTAACTGGTAATCTCTAAAGAAATATTAAGCAGGGAAACTCTACACCTAAGAAATATTAATGGGAACTACATACTACAGAAATATTACTCAAATTTGAAAATAAAACAAAAAATGACTGAAAAAGGACACAAAATTATGAATAACAAAGAAGGAAGATTAAAACTATATAGAACAACACTGTACATTACTGTACTGACAAGTAAGACAAGTACAACAGTTGGGTATCTTTATTCTTGATAAGTAACACAAGTGCAACACATCAGTATCGTATACAATTTTCATATTCATTTTATTTGTTGAAATGTACCACGTATTGTTCCTTATTTCTTATGTTCTATGTGGCAGGTTTCGTCAGTCATGTATGAACAATGTATTGTAGGTAGCAGTAGTGGCGGTTAGGTAAACATGCTGTACGGGTCGCCCCTGCTCATTACAGCAAGTTAGGTTTTGGGTTACTGCTGTATGGGTTGTCCCCGCTCATTACAGCAAGTTAGGCTCTGGGTTACTGCTGTACGGGTCATCCCTGCTTATTACAGCAGGTTAGGTTTTGGATTACTGATGTACAGGAGGGCCCTGCTTATACAGCAGGTTAGGTTCCAGGCTACTGATGTACAGGAGGACCCTGCTTATACAGCAGGTTAGGTTCCGGGCTACTGATGTACAGGAGGACCCTGTTTATACAGCAGGTTAGGTTCCAGGCTACTGATGTACAGGAGGACCCTGTTTATACAGCAGGTTAGGTTCCAGGCTACTGTTGTACAGGAGAGCCCCACTTATACAGCAGGTTAGGTTCCAGGCTACTGTTGTACAGGAGCGCCCCACTTATACAGCAGGTTAGGTTCCAGGCTACTGTTGTACAGGAGCACCCCACTTATACAGCAGGTTAGGTTCCAGGCTACTGTTGTACAGGAGCACCCCACTTATACAGCAGGTTAGGTTCCAGGCTACTGTTGTACAGGAGAGCCCCACTTATACAGCAGGTTAGGTTCCAGGCTACTGTTGTACAGGAGAGCCCCACTTATACAGCAGGTTAGGTTCCAGGCTACTGTTGTACAGGAGCGCCCCACTTATACAGCAGGTTAGGTTCCAGGCTACTGTTGTACAGGAGAGCCCCACTTATACAGCAGGTTAGGTTCCAGGCTACTGTTGTACAGGAGCGCCCCACTTATACAGCAGGTTAGGTTCCAGGCTACTGTTGTACAGGAGCGCCCCACTTATACAGCAGGTTAGGTTCCAGGCTACTGTTGTACAGGAGAGCCCACTTATACAGCAGGTTAGGTTCCAGGCTACTGTTGTACAGGAGAGCCCCACTTATACAGCAGGTTAGGTTCCAGGCTACTGTTGTACAGGAGTGCCCCACTTATACAGCAGGTTAGGTTCCAGGCTACTGTTGTACAGGAGTGCCCCACTTATACAGCAGGTTAGGTTCCAGGCTACTGTTGTACAGGAGCGCCCCACTTATACAGCAGGTTAGGTTCCAGGCTACTGTTGTACAAGAGAGCCCCACTTATACAGCAGGTTAGGCTCCAGGCTACTGTTGTACAGGAGCGCCCCACTTATACAGCAGGTTAGGTTCCAGGCTACTGTTGTACAGGAGAGCCCCACTTATACAGCAGGTTAGGTTCCAGGCTACTGTTGTACAGGAGCGCCCCACTTATACAGCAGGTTAGGTTCCAGGCTACTGTTGTACAAGAGAGCCCCACTTATACAGCAGGTTAGGTTCCAGGCTACTGTTGTACAGGAGAGCCCCACTTATACAGCAGGTTAGGTTCCAGGCTACTGTTGTACAGGAGTGCCCCACTTATACAGCAGGTTAGGTTCCAGGCTACTGTTGTACAGGAGTGCCCCACTTATACAGCAGGTTAGGTTCCAGGCTACTGTTGTACAGGAGTGCCCCACTTATACAGCAGGTTAGGTTCCAGGCTACTGTTGTACAGGAGCGCCCCACTTATACAGCAGGTTAGGTTCCAGGCTACTGTTGTACAAGAGAGCCCCACTTATACAGCAGGTTAGGTTCCAGGCTACTGTTGTACAGGAGAGCCCCACTTATACAGAGGTTAGGTTCCAGGCTACTGTTGTACAGGAGAGCCCCACTTATACAGCAGGTTAGGTTCCAGGCTACTGTTGTACAGGAGTGCCCCACTTATACAGCAGGTTAGGTTCCAGGCTACTGTTGTACAGGAGAGCCCCACTTATACAGCAGGTTAGGTTCCAGGCTACTGTTGTACAGGAGAGCCCCACTTATACAGCAGGTTAGGTTCCAGGCTACTGTTGTACAGGAGAGCCCCACTTATACAGCAGGTTAGGTTCCAGGCTACTGTTGTACAGGAGAGCCCCACTTATACAGCAGGTTAGGTTCCAGGCTACTGTTGTACAGGAGAGCCCCACTTATACAGCAGGTTAGGTTCCAGGCTACTGTTGTACAGGAGAGCCCCACTTATACAGCAGGTTAGGTTCCAGGCTACTGTTGTACAGGAGAGCCCCACTTATACAGCAGGTTAGGTTCCAGGCTACTGTTGTACAGGAGAGCCCCACTTATACAGCAGGTTAGGTTCCAGGCTACTGTTGTACAGGAGAGCCCCACTTATACAGCAGGTTAGGTTCCAGGCTACTGTTGTACAGGAGAGCCCCACTTATACAGCAGGTTAGGTTCCAGGCTACTGTTGTACAGGAGAGCCCCATTATACAGCAGGTTAGGTTCCAGGCTACTGTTGTACAGGAGTGCCCCACTTATACAGCAGGTTAGGTTCCAGGCTACTGTTGTACAGGAGAGCCCCACTTATACAGCAGGTTAGGTTCCAGGCTACTGTTGTACAGGAGAGCCCCACTTATACAGCAGGTTAGGTTCCAGGCTACTGTTGTACAGGAGAGCCCCACTTATACAGCAGGTTAGGTTCCAGGCTACTGTTGTACAGGAGAGCCCCACTTATACAGCAGGTTGGGTTTCCCAGGCTACTGTTGTACAGGAGAGCCCCACTTATACAGCAGGTTAGGTTCCAGGCTACTGTTGTACAGGAGAGCTCCACTTATACAGCAGGTTAGGTTCCAGGCTACTGTTGTACAGGAGAGCCCCACTTATACAGCAGGTTAGGTTCCAGGCTACTGCTATAAAGCAAAAATAACTGTCAAGTAAAACAGGTTTTTTTCCACTTTTCAACGAATATAAAAGCCTTATAACATGTTTACACTATCATATATAAGTGAGCAATAGAGCTAGGCCTAAAAAATGCTTATACAGTACACATATTACTTACCCTAAAAAATATTAATCCTTATCTTACAGTGAGTGGTGAATACATTTATTCTAGTAAGTCTGAATAAATAAAGAATGGATATAATTGAAAACTGCTGCATTAGCAAAATGCTGTAAAGTGGGACTTGTCTGTAATCAATCCCAACTTTAGAGACAAAATCTGAGGTAATCAAAAGTTCCAGTCCATGGAGCTGAACTCTTCTCCAGGCTGACTACCTCAAAGTTTTCCTCCAAGGTTGATGGGACTAATTACAGCATCATCACCTCCCCACTATTACTGCCTACAATACATTCTCTGTATTTGAGTGAAGAAGCCTGTGTAGGCGAGACGTTTCAACAGTAAAGATCCACAACCGTTGCACGAGTGTCTTAATCTTCAACTTAGTCAGTATTTTATACCACTTTCAGCAGTACTGTAATCTCTCAGTATCTACAAGTTCTTAAAATCTAATTACGCCTACCATCCGACTTACGACCGAGTTCGGTTCCGAGAAACCGGTCGCAAGTCGAACTTTACTACTGAATATCAACATAACATTTTTGTAATGACTTTATTTTATTTTATTTTGGTATTTCATGTTTTACTTTACTTTTTATGCTGTTAGTACTGTATTTTATACTGTAAGGTTTAGGATAAACACTGTGTACAACACAAATACTTGTTTATTTCCCAGAAATTTGGCATAAACACGGTCGTAAGTCGAGTGGTCGTATGTCAAGCAGGTCGTAAGTTGGATGGTAAGTGTAATCACTTGAGTTACCTAACTTTTATATCAGTATGTACTCCTCCATAACCTGTGTCAATACAGAGTAAGAATTAGTACGAGTCTGCCCGAAATGCCTAGGCATGCTAGTGGCATAATTTGCAATTAATACTTTATAACATGTAAAGCACACATTGTACGCTTTGCAAGGAAATAAACATTTTTATTTCATGTTCATATCCGTGAGCTTCATTTCACAAGCTACGGTACTGTCTGTGAAGCACCAATCATTATGGGAAATATTTTCTGGGCTGGTAGAAATTATGCCTTAGTTAAGTTTAATATGTATTATGCATCTCATACCCATCCTGGGGTTGGTAGTCAAAAGATTAAAGAGGTACATAATCAATCAATCAATCACGTTTATTCTCTATAAGGATTACAATGCGGGGTTTACAGATTTTGGTTATTGTGTGGTTTACATGTAATAAAATACTAATTACAGAGGGGGCCACTAGAACACCTAGCATGGCTAGGCATTTCTGGCAAACTTAGATTAATTCTTAACCCTAAATTATTACAAATTGTGGAGTAAGTTGACTAAATATGTACTAAGTGACTAAATACTAGTTTGTGAGTTTAGCAATGTGAATGCTTCTGTTTTGACACAATACATAGTTTCTATATTGGAGTATCACAGGCAAACTTATGACTAGTTAG